GAAAAAATCAGTATCTGTTTATTTAGTAAAAAACGAGATAACAAACCTTAGGTTTTGCCAATTTCCATGAGCAAAATTAGACCTAAACCAAATTGCCTAAATGCCTAAACCATGAGTTAGTTCCAGCTACAATCACTAGTCCTGTGTCTCAATTTATGTTTCACATCATGCACAACACCAATTATGGTTTTTAAACCAATATAACTTTTGTCTTTTATTTTTATTTATATTTGACTAATAAAATTTAGGTGAATAATCACAAAATTTCTTATTAATATTAACCTGAAACCAACTGAAATTTTTGGATTGGTCTCAGGTTTACTTTTAAAGCATTCAGATCGAACTTGAAACCAACCCCAAAATTTCATGTTGGTTTCAGTTCACACTTAAACAAACCCAGTCCATTTGGAGCTTTAATGCAAATATTTACTTGAAATATTCAAATACTAAATAAATAAATTTTATTACACATTATATTCATTTTACATATAAGAAATTAGAAAAATTCCAAGCAATGTTAGTCTTTTCCAAGTAATACTGAGAAATAGTCAGCTTTTACTAGGTAAATGAAACTTTACCAAGTAGTAACTTTAGACTAGTAATAATTTTGGAGTGAATAATTTGTGCTAATGAAATAATATCTTTTATTATGGGATTAGTATCAGTTACTACACCTTCATCAAGAAAACATAATTTGGAGTTATACATATAATTATATTTATATTATTTGCAAATATGTAGAGTCTTCATATAATTCCCATATAGTTCACATGTAAGTCATGTATATGCATATTATATGAGAATTATATGAGAACCCCACACATTTGTAAATCATATACATATAATTATACATATAATCCCATCATGTCAGAGTCTGAATTTGAGTATAGTAAAAAAAGTGAAGTCTTCTTCCTAAATATATATTAATATAATAAAAATGGAAGAAGACTTCGCCTTGATAGGTATGTGTTCTGTAGGAAAGTGTAGCCTTCTGTGTAAATATATATAATAAAAATTGGCAGAAAGACTATAGCATAAAAACAGGAACTAAAAATTCAGGCTTTAACATGTAATGAATGTAATCATCATCAGCATTGATGGTGATTGAAATAGTTATGCATTATGGAAAAGTATAGGAACATAGATAAAAAACAACAGCCTGAAATATGGGCAAAATTTTTTATATATTAATAATTATTTGCAGGTTGCATGGCATCAGGAAAATGGGTACAAATATTATGCATATATAATACACAATTGCAGGGATTAAGCATATAATATGCATACAATCGCGTATTTTTTTATGTATGCAAATTGTACATATATTGTATGCTTAATCCCTGCAATTGTGTATTATATACGCATAATATTTGTACCCATTTTCCTGATGTGGGAGAAACATTTTGGCCCTCCCCTATAAAAAATGATTCTTATATAATATGCGGAAAATCAGTAGAAAATATACACGAAATAAACAGAATCAGATGATCATGAATCTTAAGGCAGGGAAGATTATAACATAGTAAAATATGGACCAACCTAGGTCTCAATCAATCATGATCAATCCAGATGTTTGTTAAAAATCTGGTCATGTTCAGATTGGAGGGTAGTATTTTTAAAAGGCTGATAAGTTACAGATTAAAATTTTAGAGATTAAAATTTTAATACATTTTTTAATGCTTTGTCTTTGAAATGCTCAAAAGCAGTCAAGTATATCAAGTGAAAGGTTTTTTTGTAAAGAATTATTTATTGCCTGAATGCATCATAATTTTGGAGACCATCAAGTTGACAAGCCTCATATACTAAATGAAAGTTGTTCCCCATACTCAAAATTGAGTTGTTTTAAATTCAGTTTGTAGATAACTATTTGGACTGTTAAAAATTATTCTCATCATCCTTTCTTTACTTTGACTTTGTTTTAGAGTTTTAGGTTATAAAATCATTTCGAGTGTGTGTTTCAACTCTAAATGACATTTTTGCCTTTTTCTTTAACTAAATTTATGATTATTTCTAAATTTATTCTTTTTTAAATCTAGAACAAAAACACAAGGTTGAAAAAGAGCATCTTGATGGTATTGAAGGAGAAAACAATAAATAAATCCCCATCCAGTCCTGGAAATGCATCAGAATATATCAGGGTACAGGATAAAGAAGGGCTGTTGTATAATGATCATCTGTCCTGTTTTTGCAAATTTTTATTGTGAATATTATCAGTGCTTTTGATGATTTTTTTAATACTAGTATTAAATGATTAAATATTAATATAACAATAATGATGATTATCATTCTTTTTCATTAGTATTAAATAATATAATAATGAAATCACATTGTTTTGTTTAAAAAGAACCTCTTATTAATATCATCATTAATTATTTTGTTTGAAAAAGTGAATTAAGAAATCCTCTTGTTTATTTAATCTTTTTTATAAAAAAATATCTTCTGTTTTGTCTATCAGTTTGGTTCGGTTTACATTTGACTCAAAAATTTCAGACATTCTAAATTCGTTAACTACGCGAAAAATTATAATAACATGTAGCTTAGTTTTGCGAATGTGTTGCGAAGTAGAGATGCCGGAAGGATCTTGTTTCTAAATACATAATTTATAATTTTTATACCATGGTAAAGATGTAGATACAGCTGGTTAGTTATAGGTCGGATCGTTACATATTCATAGATTCACAAAAATTTGTACGTTTAGAGTTTCTTCGTATTATTCGTTTATTCGATTTATTCTTTCTATTTGAATTATTCGTTCCATTTGTTTTGTTCGTTTCATTCGTTTTGTTCATTTTTTTCACTTTATTCGAATTGCTCGTTTTATTCGTTTCATTTTTCACTTTATTCGTTTATTCGAATTATTCGTTTTATTCATTTCATTGGTTTCATTGGTTTCATTCGTTTCATTCGTTTCATTCGTTTATTCGACTAAACTTTCAATTTAATTCGAATATTCAGATTCATAACGAATGAAATAAATAATTCGAATAAGACGTTCTATTTTTATTTTTATTTTTTTCAATTCATATATAAAATCATACTCTCCGCAAACTTTTAAACTCTTATTATTTCAGGTTCTAAAATACAACGCCTTTGAGTAATTAAGTCTAATGCCTCCAGAAAAAACTCGTTCACCGGTTGTTATTAGGTTAGAAATTAATAAATTTAATTCTAAATAAGCAGAATGCAAAAATTAGAATACCAGGAACTTCCAAGTAATTTTTAGCCTAAAGCTCTGAACGGTTCGGTTCGGAGTTTTAATTAAGAGCCAAAACATGATAAAGTATTTTAAATGGAATTTGTCAACTGATTAAATATATTATTTTGTGTTCATGTGATATATATTTGTGGCTGAAAAAATTTTTTTTTGACAATTAATAAATTATTTTCAAAAATGGAATATTCAAAGAAAAGGAAGAAAAATACGGGAAATGTCCAACTTGTAATAGATATAATACTGATTGGACATGTTGTCAATCATGCAATCCAAAGCTATTAACTGAAGGATAGACTAGTGGCAATGAAACATTAGATGAGTTGATTAAAAGTACACAACTTAAAGCAATTGAATATTATAATTATTTTTTATCTTCAATGGATTTCTTATAATGATTTAACAAATATTGAAAAAATAGGTGAAGGTGGTTTTGCAACTATATACAAAGCTACTTGGTTAAATGGTTGTAAAAGTGTAAATTATGAAAATAACAAAGAACTAATGAAGATATTACTGTAGCATTAAAAAAACTACATAATTCACAAATTATTTCTGATGAATTTCTTATGAGGTAAATTATTTTATTAATATTAGCTTCATATTTTTTTTAAAAATACTATTGTTGTAATTATATATATCTATTTGTTTTTTTTTAGTTTAAAAATTTTGTGAAGCTTTATGATCAAGATGATATAATTAAAATTCATGGATTTGACACAAGATCCAATTACAAAAAGAACAGGGTTGGCAGATTGACTGGTCCATTGAGAACTGATTGGATTTTGGACTGGTCCATTGCCATTAATAAAATACTAAATATGGTTAAAGTGTTACACTAATGGGCCCAATAGACCATCAATGGACCGCACATTTGCCAACCCACAAAAGAAGATATATATTTGTTATGAAATATATGGTAGATGAAAGTCTTCAAAATTTTTTGACAAAAAATTTTATATGGAACAATAAAATTAGAATTCTTTGTCAAATTATTAAAGGTTTAAAAGATATTCATAAAGAAGGAATTATTCATCATGATCTTCACAGTGCTAATATTCTTCAATCTGGTCACAGTTCATGGGTTGCAGATTTAGGACTATCATGTCCAGCTGGTCAAAAATCTGCATCAAACAAAAATGATATATTTGGAGTACTACTATATGTTGACCATAAGTTTTAAAAGGGGAACCATATACAAAAGCATCAGATATATATAGCTTTGGAGTTCTGATCTCTGTAATGTCAATGGGCCAACAACCACTTAATAATTGGCACATGATGGAGGTCTTGTAGTGAAACTATGTGAGGATGTAAGACCTAGATTTTCAAACAACACACCAAAGTTCTATATTGAACTAGCATTCAGATGCATGGATGTTAATCCAACAGCTGAAGAAATTCATAGGATTATTAAAATTTGGGTTAATTCATTTCAAGCTCATGTAATTAATAATCATATTCAAAAGAACAGAAGGATGAATTAAAATCAATTAGAAAAAGTGTTTGATGAAATGGATGGTATTGATACTCTTCCACATAGAAATTTTCCATTTTGAATGATAAAACACAAAAATCATAATTGGTCATAATAATATTAGCATAGTATTAATATTAGCAATAGTAGTATTAGTATTAGTAGTATTAATAGTCAACTAAATAATTGATTAAAATAGTTTATTCCAACCTCTAAAACCAAAATTTCAAAGAATTTACTGTTTTAATTAAAACAACCAAATCAAAACACATATTTTACTTTATTTTCTTCCATACAATAATCTTAGTTAAGATGGCAAACAAAAGAAATTGTAATATAGCCAAAAGTGGATATAGTCCACCTACTCCTGTTCCAGCAAAAAAGAAAATTGACAGATTCTCTTCTCCTTCTGGTTCAATCTGCCTTCAAGAAGACTACTACCTGATTACCAGTATTAATTGCAATCAAACATTTGTTTATACATTAACAAATGACCATGCTAACACCAATACTAATGAACAGGGTTCATCTGATCTAGATATTGTTATGAATAATCAAGATCAACAAATTAAAAAACATATGCAGAAACAATTACATCAAAAAAATAAAAATAGATCAACAGATAGACCAGATGTTCCCCTCTTCTCATCAATTATCCCTCACAATGAATCTTTACCACATACTTTTCCAAACAACAAATAAATACTCATGCATTTAAACCAGATTTCACTACTTTTGACAAAACCATTGATACACTTTCAAATAATCTACCAAACAAATTAATCACTGAATGGGAAAATGATATTGACATTAACTTATTCACTCTTCAATCTGCAAAAAGAAATTTTATTACCAAAAATTTATGCAATCTACTTGACTATGTTTTTACAAAACTTGATTATGTCAATTTTTTTGCCACTGTGAGATAGTAAAATCTTGGACCTAACAATTATCCTGATTAATATTGATGGATTGGAACAATTAGAATGAACTTACTACAGAAGTCATGTGATGCACTAAATATTACATCATAATCAATGATGTTCAGTATATAAAATTCAGTTTGAGAGTGTAACGTTACACCATAAAATATGTGTGCACGAAATGCAATTATAGGTAATTTCTATGAAGAAATTAAATTTGCAAATGGAAATAAATTTAGTGGAATCACTGACAAAGAACTTAAACAAGAATGTAATTCAACAAACTTTTCTTCCAGCACTATAAAATAATAATAGAGAAACCAATTTCATTCAGTTGTGGATACACAATTTAGATACTGATGAGGATTTTCCTTTTAATAATTCAAATATATTATTAGTTGCTAGAATGGGATTTCTTATATCTCTTTCTAATGCTCATGTAGTAAGAATATTTTCTCAAACAAAGTTAATTAAAAATAATTTGAGAAACCAAATGAATGTAGACACATTAGATGATCATTTAATAATTGACCAGAGATTGAAATTCTTGATTTTTTAAAAGCATTGGAAAAATAAAAAACAAGAAGGATAATACAATATTCATTATAATAATTAAATAAAAAATTTCCAAAAAAATATGTGTGCATGCGAGCTGTATAATGTTACATCCTCCTGCAGAATTTTACACACTGAGTGTGTGACAAAAAACTTAACAATTTATGGACTAAATTAGGTAATAAGTGAACATTACTTAATTTATCTCATATTTTACCAAAGTAAAGTGTAAATAGTAGCTTTATTATTACATTTGTTAAACAATAAAATCATAAGTAAATTTTCACAAATTAGCCATCGAAAAATGTCACCAACCACTCATGAACAAAGATGCACACATTATTATATCACTGGAATGAAGAATCTATTCTATATCAGAATTAATCAAACTCACCAAGTTACCCATTTCAACTGTATAATATAATGTTAAAAAGTTCAAAAGAAATGAAACTTTGGAGCATAAAAGCAGAAATGGTCATCCAAAGAAAATAACAGCTAATATAGCAAAAACCATTGGCCAATCTATTTGCTGAGATACTTCAATGTCACTGTGTTCTATTGCCATTAAACTTAATAACAGTGATATTGATGTGTCCTATCATACAATTGGCAGACATTTAAAGTCCTTAGGGTATAAAAAAAAACTTGCCTATAACTACACCAATGTTAATGGAAACTCATAAACAAAATAATGTTGAATGGGCCAAGTGTCACCTTAATGACGATTGGAAAAAACATTATTCACTAATGAAACAGTATTTAAATTGTTCTGGAGTACAATTCAATGTTGGCATAAAGATAAATGTCTAGTTTGTTGATCATAGAAAAAACTTTGCCTGGGGTGGTTTTTGTTCAAAGGGGATGACAACTTTATTTTGCTTCCAGCAGATAATGGATGGTGAGTTTTATGTTAAAATACTCGAAGACCATCTCAGTGAATTTAATGAAATGCTTGGAAAAATGTGGTGCTTTCAGCAAGATAACTATCCCAAGCATACAAGTCAAGTAGCTTGAGCATTTCTTGCTGAAAATGCACCTGAAATTACCAACTGGCCTTTTTTGTAGTCCTGAATTTAACCCCATAGAAATTTATGGGTAATTGTTAAAGGCAATGTTGAAAAACAAATGCCCAAAAATTTGGTCAATTTGAAGTTTTTGAGTGAAGAATGAAATTCTATTCCAAAATCAGTTATAAATAATTTAGTAATTAAATGTGACACTATTGTGAGTTAGTTATTGAAAGTAAAGGTGAACAAATCAATTTTTGAGCTTAATAAAGTTTATTCTGTGGCCTTTTCACTTCTAAATGGTATATTTATCATTGGATTTGGTGCAATTTTCGTGAATCTATGCTGAATTTAGTTTTTTGTCACACACTGTAGTCAAACGATATGTTACAGGAGGTGGAATTACATACAGTCAAACCTTGTCACAGCGGATTGATGGGACCAGCCAAAAAAAAATCCGTTGTGACAAGAAATCCGCTATGGTGATGATCATGATCGACAAAACATTTTTTTAACAGATAATAATAATAGTAATTAATAATAAAAACACATGATACTAATATATGCAGGAATTAAAAATCTATTTTTTGAAATAAGATGAAATATTTGGTTGTGTTAATTTTTCATTATTTTTTTTTCGATTATAGTTATTATAGTTGTAAAATTAATAAACAAAATTTTCATCTTAATTTATACATTTTGAAATTTTGATCTTTGGAGAAGGATAATAAATCCTGTTCGTTTATTGTCTAAAAACTTTCAGTTATTTATTTGGAAACTTGGGATTTTGTTACTTGCAATATTTGAACATACAATCTATTTAATTATTTGTTACTCGCAAGCGTTTGATAAATTATTTTAGAAACTTGGAAAACTTTGTTACTTGTAAACTTTTGAACAAATAATTTATTTAATTGTTTGTTACTTGCAGACGTTTGATCAATTATTTAGAAACTTAAAAAATATTGTTAATCGCAAGCATTTGATGAATTATTTTAGAAACTTGGAAATTTTGTTACTTATCAAATAATCCGTTTATTGTTGCCTATTTTTTAGTAATTCGGATAATTTTATAAATTTCTATGTCACGTGAATCTGCTGTGGTCGTATTAATTAATATAGTAATAGGAGGTTCCCAATCAAAAATCCGTTAACGCTGTGGCACGAATTTATAAAATCCGCCGTGACAAATATTTTTTAAAAAAAGGGGACAAAATTTAAATCCGTTGTAACAAGAAAGGTCCGCTGTGACGAGGTTTGACTGTATTTAAAATATTTCCTTCCAAGATTAATTGAATCATACCAAAATTTAATAGGTCATGTAAAAATAAAATTTACAGCATTTATTTTATAATGGTAGTTACCATTGCCACAATAACCCAATTATAGCAGGTGTCTTTAATCATAATTATTATTACTATTAATCATTAAATATTAATTTCTTAAGACATATATCTTTTTTTTGGGTGCACTAAATTTATTGCCTGATTAAATTATTATCACCACTATCAATATTATTGATGCTACAGTCAAACCTCGATGAATTGAACTAATATAAACCAATTTTTGCTTTATAACAATATAAAATGGTTAATCAAATCATATTTAATAAAAATTATTTCATCAAGTCGAATTTTATTAATTGTAATTTCTACTTGATAAACTGAATCTAACATTCAACGCAACATAATAAAATGCAACTTTCTAAGCTGAATATTTGTGAAAACCAGTTGATGATCATAAACTGATGATAAAATTCAACTTACTCCACCATACTGTCAATCACCCAAACCTTTTATAAATAAAATTTATTATTTTATACATTTTTATATTTGAACAATCAATAATAATAAAAATCGTTTTTCATAAACTGAATTTTGATAAGCCAATCCTACTTTTGTGATTCCCAAAAGTTTGGCTTATCGAGGTTTGACTCTATATAGTAATAATACAAAAAAAAAAAATGGGGGTTTTCCAAAAATCCAAAAAATCCAAGATTATAAAAAATAATGTTTTATCAAGTTAATGATTTTTGTATTCTCATTATTATGAAGTAACTTATCAATCCAAAAAATGCAAGTGCTCCAACAATTGAGAAAAACCATGAGAGATCGTCCACATCTCGACCAGGTACTTTAACATTCATACCAAATAATCCTACAATAACAATAAATAGTAGTATTATTGATTAATAATATCAGTCATGTTAATAATGTTTTATTATTTATTTAATTTACCTGTTACAACATTCATTGGTACAAGTACTGTGGCAAATACTGTTAACTTATTTATAATCTCATTGGTTTTGTTACTAAGTTGTGTAATTTCAATAGATATTTGTGCAAGATAATTTGAATGTGCTCGTGACAAAATCAATTCATAATGATTAAGATTCTGTAACATTGTAATAATATGATCTAAAAATAAAAATAGTATTTATGAGATCAATGAAACTATCCAATTTAATAATTATATAAATATCTAATTGATTAATTACCTTGAATATCGCCTAAATAAAGAACAACATCCCCAGGCCCATGTTTCTCACCATTTTTCTCACCACCTGTTGCATTTATTTCTTCGCATCTTTTAATCAATGCCTTGATAACATCTGCTTTTGTACCCAACAATTTTAAAAATGTCATCACCATCTTACGACAAATTCCTATCCTCACCAACATATCTTGTTGCTCTGAATTCTTAAGAACCAACACCAATTGATCAATTGCATCTGATTGAAACTCTACTTGGCGTATAAGTGGTGCAAATGAATCAGTTATATCATCAATTAAAGCATAATTGATCCAATCTGAATTATTAATTATCATTGAGAAGATTAAAATGAAAATTATGAAATTTTTATTGGTGCATGAAATTTAAATAATTTTTCTTGGAAATTTGATGTTTGATTTACCAGGTGTCACTTTAATATAATCCTTTAATTGACGTATTCTTCTTCTCACATTATGAGCATGTGGCGTTGGTTGATAATGAAACTATAAATATTATTATTATTATTTGTTATTGTTGTTATTAAGCAATTCACATGAAATATTCTTCATATTAATAAACTAAATAAATAATAATAATAATAATAATAATAATAATAATAATAATAATAATAATATATTAAAATCACAATCACTTACTGATAGTATCCCTTCTCTCATGACAACATTAAACATGCTTATAGGTTCAATATCATCTGATGGATTAAAATTGTTTTGATTGTATGATCGAAAATTAATGAAATAATAATTTTTGAATAATTCACATTTCTCTCGTGATTCTTCAGTCTCAATATCTTCTGTTGTCAATGGATGAATATGAAAAATCTACAACATCATACATATATTAATAAAATAATGATATAAATATTGTGGAATAATTTAGTCATTGTACATCAATTTCAAATCCTCTTCTTCATAATTACCGAACTTAAAATCCTCATTTCTGAATCAGTTGGTGATAATACATCAATCCAAAAATATCCTTGTTTTAATAATTCTGTCATTGTTTGACCTTTTGGTGGGATCTCTGAAAAACAGTTGGTTCGTATAGTTCCTGTCTCTGTAGAATAAAATGTAAATCGTAATGCTTCGGTAAGATCTGGTGGTGGCTAATTATAAATAAATATATATATTCATTTGTTTATTTTTAATATAATTCTTTATTAATAATAAAAACCAAATTACCTTAATTCTTTCAGCATATTGACTAACTCGTCTTTTTAATGAAGTTGGTTTTGTTTCATCATCATTATTGTTGATATTATTCTTTTTCTTAGCCATCAATGCATTTTCTTCTCTAATATATTCTTCCAATGCTTCAAAATCTATTCCCTCTTTTTTATTTAGTGGTCTTATAGGATAGCATACATCTTCCTCAGCATTTGAAAGCTTTCTAATAATGTTAGGATTATTCAAATTCTCATCAAATATTGAATTCTCATCAGGCACTTGTTCAATTTCTTTGATTTTAATTACATAATTTTTGTTATTGTTTGATAAAATAGGTTTTGATTTATCTAAAGTACTAGAGTCATCATTGTTATTCACCACACTTGTTGCCATTGATGACGCTAACTTATTACCAGTATTATCAATATTGCTTGATGGTGGTGTTTCGTTTATGCTTTTTTGTTGGTCTTGTTGATTTTGTAATTGGTTGTTGGCTTTAATAGATTCTTCTGTCTCTGGTAATGCCTCTTCTTTTTTTTTTTGATCACTTTTATTCAAAGACATTTTTCATTTGTACTTAATCAAACGAAGTATCAATAACAAAAATATTGATGCTGTTATTTATGCTGTGCTGTTGTTACTGCTGTTGTGTCGCTGTTGTCCTCAATTCTAATTCCTTAATATTAATATTTATAAATAATTACATAATTGCGCAATAGTATTTAATATTAAATGATCTGCGGGTGCATTTCTATATATAATATCAAAAAATTCACGGCATGAATAAACAATCACAAAAATGTTGAACTTTAATTATTTTTTTGACAATCATATTAATATTAATTAATTTATCCCATTTTATTAACATTATATATTGCAAACTTAAGTTTTTGATCCAAATTGTTATCAAATGGTATGTTAGGATCATCATAAATCATTTGCAATTGGTAACAAAGTATTATAATCTTTTTTTTAAATCTTTTTGAGTTTTAAAGAAGGATTCATACTTTGATAAAACAAATCAAAAAACTCAATTATTTGAACAAACTTGTCAGGGTCATTAATTGGAGATATATTTCTCTTTGTTAATAATTACAAAGAACAGTTGACAATTTTCTAACTTGTTCATTAAACTGTGAAATTCAACCATATATACCTAAATTTCTCTTTCTAAAATACTTATTAGAAATATTTCTTCTTGGTCTATAAAAGTTGGATTCTGGATCTTGTACAAACATCCATTGATATTCCACTCATCATGATTAACCTTGTCAAAGAACCATTAACCATGGAGTCATAATTACCTTTGCAAAAAGAATAAATTTTACAATTTCATCAACAAAATGGGATATACAACAAAAATTATTTTAGAATTCCATAATAATAACAAGGATAATAATAACAATAATAATGGATATAGTACGGCAATTAATCAAAATAGATTTTATGTAGAAATCAACAACAAAATAATAACAATAAATGAAGATTATAATATTGACGAAATTGAATACTATGGTAATTATTATAATAATGGACTTAAAAATAGAGATATAAAATGTATTATTAAATAAAAAAAATAAATGAATTTTATTCCAAAATTCTGATTGGTCCTAAAATATAATATTTAAAATATTATCCAAACAAACAAATTTGTAAAATTCTGCTATTTTAGTTAATAAAAATTTCTTGCTAAACTATGTTGAATAATCTCTTTTCTCTTGGTTGTTTCAGCAAATGTTCTATATATCACATCACATTACTATTATATTTCATATTTATCCCTTAAACAATTAATCAGCCGATAAAATTTTTCTGACAAAAAATTTTTTCTGAGGGCATCATTTTCTAATACAAAAATGATCTTCGAGATTCAGCCGATTAATCTATAAATAAAAATCCGGTTGTTGTCCTTTAAATGTTGGTCAAATCGACTTTTTTTACTTTGCTGATCGTTAAATTGACCAATAAGAATGAATGATCAAAACCTTAATTTGAGATATGATTAATTGAGATCGTTGTTTAAATGTAATATCTCTATATTCTATACCAAATGGAATATATTATTATTATCTAAAGACAATAAAGTCGCATTTCTTTCATCATCAGGAATTGTTTCTAATTTAATTTTAAAATCCAATCTTCAAATTCTTGAATATTATAATTATCTTTCTTATTAAACAAAAACACATCTAATCCTATTGCCTTTGCTTAATAATAATTGTAAAATTTAAAAAATATATACTAAATTAATTGTTTTTATTTATAAATTATATTACCATACAAAAAATTGTCTCAGTGGTCATAATTACACAGTAATTCAGCCAAAAGCAAAAGGCGGAAATTTAATCCGAGTAGTGTAATATGTAATAGTAATACACAACACAACTTAAACAAAATCACTTCATATAGTTTAAAATGACTATATTATTTCTTTTTTTAGAAAAATGGAACGAACTTTACAAATAAAATTTTTTCATAAAATAACTCTCACTTAAAAAAATTCTCCAAAAAAAAATATATTATGAAAGGAGCAGCTATTTACTTTGTAATTTTTGGAGGTTTATTTGCTTTAGGGTTTATATTAATTCCAATTATTGGAATTATCGAACCAAGCATGATTAGCGAAGCAGGAATAGAAATAGGTCCGTTTAGTTTTTCTACTTCTCATGAAATAGGAATTAGAGTTATAAGTGGAATATTTCTAGGAATTATTTTTATTGTTGGTATCTGTTGTTGTTTTCCGATTATAAGGAAACATTGTCGAAAATAAAATCAAATGCATTTTCAATTCCATATTGATTTATTTATTTTTAGATTTTATTAATCTTGTAAAATATTTTAAAAAAAAATTATTCATGAATACACATATATTTGTACATCAGGGAATTTTTATGGGTGATTTTTTATGTTAAAAATTAACATAATTTTACAATCAAGATTGTATTGTTTTATGGACCCTACATGAATTTGCATAAACATCATTTCAATGCTACATTTTCAATTATGTATATAAAATTATCATAAATTAACATTGTACTTTTACAATGCTTTTACAATTTTAAATATTTTCATAAATTACCAACATTACTAATACAAATTTAATTAGTTTCTAATCATATTTTATTTAATAGCATTGATATACATTTACTTATGTACAGTATTTATAGTATTATCTATCACATTAATTTAAATAAAAAAAAATACAATATATTTATAATATTATTACCAATCATCATTTAAAGGCTAGAATAAAAAAACTTTCAATATTAAAAAAAATGCTATGTAAATTCATAAATTAATAATTGTTATAAATCACTCACATATAAAGCTCTCATTTTATGTCTAATACAGAAGAATAAGAATAGACTGTGAATCATGTGATTGAGGTGGTAAAAATTCTATACAGTCCAGCTGGATTAAACAAAGCTCAGTGTTATGAAGGTAGAAAAGGTTTTCAGTACTTAAATATCAAAGTTATTTTGGGAATTTATTTTAAGAAATTACCAGGCATATTAATGGATGAATTTAAAGACATCACTTGTCCCAAGTAAGGTTGTGGGAAAAACTCCTCCAGAAATCAATTGACAGAGTTTTGACAGTCATTAAGAGGTTTCAGCAAGCAACCTTAGTCCCAAGCCAGTACAAAATGTAATTGAATAATTTTTATACTAAATAAAAAAAGTGTTAGATGACACAATTAACTCTTATTTCTTTTAATCTTTACTATTTTAATAACTGAAATAACTAGGAGGCACAACAGTATTCCACAGCTAACCATTCAGTAAACTTTCTCTCTCTTATTCTTATTAAGCTGGTTTTCTAATTCAACCCAAGGAGTCTTATTCATTTTTTATAGTAAGCCTCAGATTATGGAGTTTTTCAGCAGGGTGTTCATTTCCCATAGTTCCATCAAATGTTTTGCCTTTTTAATTGGCCTATAATGCCTTCAGTATTCAAGTTTAGGAAACAAATTTATTGTGAACTCAGATTCACCTCTTTTCCTTTTTAATGTTTTACAAGTTCTTCTCCAATCTGAAAGTCAAGAAAGTCCAGGGTGTTTTCAAATTTTTGCATAAGTTCTTGTAACAGTTCACCAATTTGGTTTCATGTTTCTTGGTCAACAGCATTGATATTATTAGGCAAATGATTTTTGGTAGAGATAGCTGTATACCCATAGTTTATTTTATTATGCAATTTGGCAATCACCTTATTCTGTTCAGCAATAATATTGTTTTGGTTTGGTTGGCAAGGCTTTTTTGGTTGATTCTATTTGTTCAGGAGTAGCTGGTTTGTAAGCTCCTTTGGACCCAGTAACTCCATAAACTTATTTGTACTTGCATATAGAAGTGGGGTGAATTTGGCCTCCTAATCTTCCTACTCCAAAACTAAACCAGTACCTCATCAGTTTATATTGCTCATCTATTTTATTAAATCTGCTCACTCTTGTCCATAAATTATTTGCATGATGTTTGGTGCAGATTGCTGCATAAGCTTTGGAGTTGGCTCTTAATACTAGACCAGAAAAAACACTTTCTCCAAATCAGAAAGTCAACTTTTAAGCATGCCTTTTTTGTGCACTTTCACATTATCACACGAGTGATAAATATTTCCTCTGTTTCTTTGCCCCTGGTACACACACATAATTGGGTGTATTATTCTCTTTTCAAGTAAAGTTTGCCCCTTCCAATTTTCTTTTGGCAATTATAGCATGTGAACATTTGTGTCCTCTACTGTCCTCATAAGCTGTAACATATCAATCTAAAATTATTTTGCATTGTGGGCTACCAAGTAGTTACTCTATCATATGGGGCATGCTGCAACAAAACCAGACAAAGTGAATATTGGTATTGCTAAGAATTTCAGGGATCAAAATTTAGTAATGTGATTATAATTATTAACAGTTTTATAATATCCCATTTGTGATATATAGAATTGCCCCTATATAAAAATAGTTAATATGAAACTCATTTATATCAGATCTACTATGGAACCAAAGAATTACAGCACTATTAGAAGTATTTTGAAAAAGGAACAAGGTGAAAAAATTGCACCTTACATTTTCAAAATAAATGACACTCAAACACTAGAAACTTATCTAAAAAAGGAAAGGATTACTTATGAAATTTACCAAGAAGAAAGAAAAGTATTAAACATTAAGAAAAGAAAGAAGGATGAAGGCATGCTATCATCTAACAAAAAACAGAAATCCTTAGAAGAAAAATAATCTCATTGTTACAATATTGATTTATCTTATTTTTTACTATATACAAAGAAACTTCTATATGCAAATGTAATCAATGATCCATTGTTTATCAGTAAAAAAAAAAGTTTGAACGAACTTTACATTCAAGAACATAAATCTTTGTTTTTTCTCATTGACATTGAAATAAGTTAAATAGCCCCCCCCCTACCTTGTATCGGAATGTTATAAAAGCATCACCAGTTCATTTATTTTCAGGTAAAAAATAACAACTCCTAACAATCATTATTAAACACAATTTTTATTTTTTGGCTCAAAAAACTATTAAATAATAATAATAATAATAATCAATAAATATCTACAA